TCTCTCTCTCTCTCTCTCTCTCTCTCTCTCTCTCTCTCTCTCTCTCTCTCACTGTCTTTGTATCTCACTCTCTCGCTCTCCTACTCCTTGCAAATCCTCTCCTCTATCATAAATCCTCATCTATCAATGCCCAATTTTATCACAGGGTATTTCATAAAATTCCCCATTTATTCCCGTTTAAAGTGGGCTTAGAGCATAGGGTAAACAGGTAGAGCAAGTGGCGTTTGCGAACTGTGAGAGTTTCGTCAATTCCCCTAGCAAAACTGACGTCAGCAGCAACATCATCATAATCATAATCATCATCACCATCATTATTATAATCATCGACAGCGGCTGCTGTTTGTCTGTTTGATTTTCTTGCAGGCGGAGCGGTAACAGAAGCAAGTTCTTTATGTTGTTGTTGTCGTTGTTGTTGTTGTAGCATGTATTTTTATTATTATTATTAGTAATATTAATAGCCCGTTTCCATTTGATTTCATATTCTTTTTTATTTTCGCACGCGGTTTTTTTGAACACCGACTCTGACGGATCGCCGTGCACGTTTATTGCGCCGTAAGCACACACACACACATACACAGATAGAATACTTAAAGTTTCGTTAACTTGGCCCATAAACATTGAGCACATGAGGCAGAGACTCTGTTAAGTGCATGCTAGCAAAAATAATATAGTAATAACGAGAATGGGATATAATGAATTATAATAAAAGTGCCCTCAGTCCCAGACCCAACCCTGCCTCTGCCCCAGCCCCTGTCCCAGCCCAGCTCCTTGGAAATGGTAATTACATCCAGCGGGAGCACACACACACATACACAGACAGAGACACAGATGCCGTATAATAATTTTTAATAGTTTAATACCTATTCCACAGCTAGCTAACAGTACTTGAGCCTGCATCTGGCCCGGGAATCACGGTGTGCAATTTTCAGCACATTTTAGAAATTCTGTAACCGACATTACAGACACAGCTAAGTTGACATTTACAAAGCCAAACGGAGTTCTATCAACAGCCAGCCGACAATGCAATCCAGTCCAGTCTGCAGCTCAGCTCCATTGATCCATTGATCCATTGATTGAGTGATCTGAGCTGAGGATCTAGCATTGACATTAACAGCATGCAGTGTCATGGAATGGAATGCAATGTTGGCGAGTTAGCATTCTGTTGACTTCATTAACAGTGTTGCATGCTGCTAGCGAATTAACATGCATGTAACATTGCTGTTAACGGTATGTTACGGGAGTGTTAACAGTCGTGTGACTTCATTTACAGTGTTGCGTGCTGCTAGCATGTTAATATGTTGATTCAGTTTAGTTAACATACGTGTATTTTTTTAACAGTGTTGCGTGCTGTTAGCGAATTAGCTTAGATGTTAAGTCAGTTTTCAATTAACATTGCTGTTCATGATATGTTATGTTATGTTACTGTTAACATAGGTGCAACTATGCCAATCAGCTTCCATGTTAAGTCGATTTAGCATAAACATTGCTGTTAGCAGAGTTGCTTAACATTACTGCTTTGTTGTTAGAGGATCAACATGAATGTTAACTTTGATATCAACAGCATGTTTATGGCATTACTTAACATTGCTTAGCAATGTTAGGTCAGCTTAACAGTGATTTAACATTCGATTGCAATGCCTTCCTTTGCACTCGCTCGCTTGTTTTGCATTTTTTCCAAATTCCAATTGATCACAGACAGAAAAATAGATAAAAACCTGTATGAGCTTACAAAAAATTATAATAATTATTCACAAATTCACAAATTTACAAAATTACAAATTCATAAATTTACACGCTTATAAATTCACAAATTTATCCGCACCCGAACCACTCGTAGCGCCTCTTTGGGCGACAAGCTCGTTGCTAGTTCTACGAGTTGGAGCTGCCTCGAGCTCTTCCTCCTCGGCGGTGTTGACTTTTTGCGTTTTCTGCATACATAAATATTAATTTGTTGTTAACAAATTATAAAGCTGAGACCGCGGCGCGGCTCGTCTTATTAAAAGCCATAAGCTGGAGCATTTTTATGTTAATTTCGGCAATATGTTTGCTTCTTCTTCGTCTTCATCATCGTCTTTTTTTCCTTCTTTTACTTTATTAGATGTTATTTTGCTTTAAGAATATCTATGCCATCTCGTTTTGCCCGCAGTCGTTGTTTATAGACGGGCCATAAAAGTGTTTAGCCCGATGCTTATCGCTTCATTGAAGCGACTAGCGAAGCCTTATGCTCTGTGTACCTGTGTGAATAATTGTGTACTACTACTAATATGCAATTAATTGATGTCTACCTGCCCACCGGTCCACCTGCCCGACTATACACATTTATATCTCACAAAAAATACGAAATAAATAAAGCTAGCTAGCAGGAAACATGAACTTGAACTGGCCCGACCGGCAGCTAATTACAGCACTAGCAGAACAATGGCAAAATACTAGACAGATTATGGGAATATGAGTATCTAGATAGATATATAGATATATGTACACATACGCATCTATTATAATGGGAGCTGGGCTGGACACACAATGGAGTCTCTATATGCATCACGTATGCAAATAATTGATTTTAATTAACGGTCCTCCATGGTCACTTGGTTCCGGGTTCTGGCGCATTAGTGGCTCATTAACAGCATGTGCAATGTGATCAACGCCTGGCCTAATCCCCTAATTACATATCAGTTGATCAGCGATGCTATCAAAATTTGTCACTAATTAAAGCCATTTCATGGTCACTCTGATCACCTGCCCGATAGATATTGAGTGTCTGTGGGATCTGAGCTCAATTGAATGCCTATGCCTAATGGCCCAGTCTATAAATTGATTAGGATTCGACTCGGGTCAAGCCAAATCAAAGCCAATAGAACCGAGTCATATTAGAGTTACGAATAATGGAAATTGAAACCGAAAATTAACTGAAATATAATAGATCGCATACAATATATACTTCACACACACACACACACACACACACACACACACACACACACACTCGTTCGGCTGGTCGTCACACTTGACAGTCTCTACATAAAAATGCGAATAAAAACTCTGAACCCGAAACAAAATAAATTCAATCCAATCAAATTATATCATTTGTCTACGAAAATCCCAGCAACAACAACAACAACAGCAACAATTATGGCCACAATTTCAATAATGAAAAGTCTGCCAGCTAATGTCTCGCGTTTGTGCTGCTAATAATAAATAATATTATTATTGTTATTGTTATTGTTATTGTCATTGTTGTGCTTATAGTATTACACATGCCATGGCGCACTTATCTCATATATAAACCTATATACAAAGGTGTATATATATACATACATATGTATATATCGGTTGATATGTCTCTCTACCTACCCATACGTATAACAGCTCGTGCTTGGCTTATTATTGTCCATCCCAATGGTTGCTTCTAATATGTTTTCAATTTCAATAATATTCATATACACATACACATGTGCATACCATGTATATATATGTGTGTGTGTGTGTGCGTTGTCTGTGTACAACACGTGATCTTTTTTGCCCGTTTTGGTTTGACTTTGTCTCGCAAATCGCTTTATAATTACCTAATGGCTTCTATTCAACATCTTGTTCTCTCGTTCTTCTCATTACAGAAAGCATTAAAGCCGCCTAATTGATTAGCCACATCCCCACCACGGTCCATCTCTCTATCTCTATCTCTATCCGTATCTCTCGCACACCGACAACTCAACCAAATCGGAGTACTCAGAGAACACACAAAGCCAGCCAAGATGACTGGTTTCACAAACGCCGGCTTCGAGAACGATGAGCCCGTCAAGGTGAGTGCCAAGCATATCTAACCCCATGATAGTACCCAAAGGAATGCCTAGAAATCTTGGGGGATGTTATCTTTCCTTCAGTATCCCTGTAGAGTCCAATTGTGAACCTCTTGTTTACAAAGAGAATACAAATAATTGAGGGATCAATAATTTGATTAGAAATTCTAGATGTATATTCCTATATACATATGTATATGTATGATATCTTAAAAATCGATATAGACAGATATGATATAAGTAGAAAGATATATACGATATAAAAACATAGATATAAAATAGTGTAAGCTATGAGATACGTATTTATATATACAAAGATAGATATAGACACAGTTACATATGATATATGTAGACAAACTATACAGATGGATTTGATATAGATAAACATATAATATAAATATATATGTGTATAGGCATAGTATAGACAACTATCACATCTAGAAAAATATTACTTAACATCCATAGCCAGACAGTTGAAATTCTACTAGTTACATGTGTGATCTTAAAATAATACTAATCTGCTCTGACAGGCGATATAGATAATGAGGCTGAACATTACATATCCGGCTCACAGGCCTTCACAAAAGTCAATGTACGCATTGCAAAAAAAAAAAAAAATGAATTTAAAATAATATTATGGAAATAAGTCTGAAAACGTGAAACCTTTCGCATTAGATAGAACGAGAAGTAGTTAGCTGATTTCAAGCGAATGCATTTCTTGACCTATTGTTTATGGCCCCGAGATCATTGAGATATATGTACACATACATATCTAAATGCATATGTATGTATATATGTATATCATGTAAGTATCAATTGCACAGCGATTGTTGAGCACGAAACAAGTTTGCAACAAAGATTACAATATAATCTAATTCATATATGAACATATATTATAATATGTATGTATGTATGTGTATATCTGTGTGTAATGTAATAAAAATCAGCTGTAAGACTGGCTCCTATATAGAACGGCATTGTGAGAACAAAAGCAAAGCGAAATTCTTAGCTGAACTAGAGTAGCGATAATTGTTGAGTTCATTCAGGCAGAGACTACATACCTATATATAACTTTAGATACATGCATACATGCTTGTATATGCATATTAGATTGCCCATTATATTACACTATATCTGCTGGCTAATGACTGTGTTTGCCTTCGCCAAGAAATCATGTTTTATAATAATGACACGCGTCACAATAATTTTATAATTTATGATTTGCCCCAAAAAAAAAAGACAAAAACAAAAAAAAAACCAGCAGAAAAAATACCAATAAAAAAGATGTATATGTGTATAATAAATAAGGAAGTATTCAAAAGCAGCTCACCTCTCACACACACACACGCACACACCTTTGTATGTGTGTGCGTGCGATGATCACGGGATGTGGCTGATTGTGAATGATGTTGCTGCTGGCCTAAAGGCGGGCACAGGCTGCCATGGGGGCGCTGGAGTGAAGCGAAGTGAAGTGAAGTGAAGTGAAGTGGGCACTCCTACCTAAAAGCACATAAAATAAATTTCACCTCAAGAAACTCAGAAACAGAGATAGCGCTAAGGCCCACGCGAAAACGAGCCGGGCCAAAAAGAAATGTGACAGCAGAAAGCGCTCAAGAGCCAAAGACAAACATGAACACGAATAAGCATGCCCAATAACTATAAACATATATACATACATACATATATATGCAGAGTGCGAGAGATCTGTCCTAATTGAAAGAGCCTAGATCTGTCTGAGTGTGCCGTATAAAATCCAATCTTATTGCACAATTGGTTTCACAATAATAAATATTGCTCATTTATAATTGTAATCGTGTAGCCGTACCACCACCCAGAGCCAGAGCCTCAGTCTCAGTCTCAGTCTCAGTCCCAGTCCCGGCCTCAGCATCCAGTGTGCCCAATAGCCCGCAGCCAGTTCGGGTCGCAGTGAGAACGCTCCATGGGTAAACCCGTTTTTCGGTGTGCCACGTTAAGAAACCAGAGAATCAGGCAGCGAATAACCAAAACTCAATAACAAATACAAATTTATGTAAAGTCAAGTCAAGTCAATGTAAAAAAGAAATATACATACATACATATATACATATATATTTATGCATGCATGTATGTATGTAGAGAGGGGCGACAGACGCACTGCGCTGAAAGCCAAAAAGCAAACACGAAACGTGCCGAGTTTAAAAATAAAACAACGCAAATCTCGTGCGCCGCTGGGCGCCGCTCTACGCGCTTCTCACTGCCACAAGGCGCTCGGGCCAGTGCCAGGCATGTACATACATACATACATACATACATATGTATGTATGTAACTGGTTTCCCTAGCTGCCCCTCTCAGAGATTTTGCTGCTCTCTGGCTCTCTTTGTCATATCGTATGGTATTTTATGCATGTTTCGCACTTGCCTCACGATTATTGTTATTGCGCTGGCCAGCGGGCAGCGGCCCGCCTCAGATTTCGATTGAAATTGAATTCGTGCATACATATGTATGTATTATTATCAGACTGCAGCTGTAGTTGTTCATACACACACACACACACACACACGCACACTCATAGCTTGTCTGTCTGTCAGCGTGCATGGCCGTTGTCTAGGCAAATTGTTAGCAGCGCCACCTGCCGTCAGTTGCATTCATAGCTACAATGCCTACGTCAGCTGATTTGCACGCGCCGCCCCACAAAGAGATCGAGCGAGGCGAGCGCAGACAGCAGAGCGTTTACAGTTAGAGCGAATTAACTGTCGACCAGTTTTTATTTATAGCACACTCAGTCGGCTCGTTATTTATGCTATGCTAAATGCATTGCATTTGCGAATTTGCAAATTCACTTGAAACTTAATTGAATTGCAATCGCTATTAGAAGTGTTTCCATACCCAGTGAAAATGCGAAATCGGGGTAGATTCGTTTTGTGCAAGTGCATGTAACAAGCAGCTAGAGGCGTGGCAGCTGCCGTACGGCATGTACATATGTATATTGTATCTGAATGACGAGCTGAGTTGATCTAGCCATGTCCATGTCCGAGCTGTCCGTCCGTCCATCTCTCGGTCCATTTGAACGCAATTATCTCGTAAACTACAAATGCTAGAGATTTGAAATGTTGCATATATACTGCTGAACCCTATATGCACCACGAGCTTATTTTATTTTTTTAATAACTCAACGTCATTGCTTCTCTATCGATAGTTTAACTCTGATTTTTAATGTTGTTTGAGCTATTGATTTTAGATATACGATATGATATATGTATAATGAATTAAATATTCATATTCTACTTAAATATCCTTAAGAGTCCAGAGTATTTAGTAGCCAATCCTGGGTATTTCCCAGTCTATCAGTCTCAACTAGAGCACTCTTGTTAGTTACAAATGTTTGTAATCAGCAATATCAGGGAGATTTCGCTTATAAAGCTCAAGCAAAACATTTTGATAAAAGCTGTAAATGTGCTTATATATATACAAATACTTATATATATAATGCATTTATGTGCTTGTAAAATTCTCTCTCCCCCGTCAATATATGTGTTTCGTAGCGCTCTACAATGCTATTATTTTAGTGCAGGCTGTTCAATGTCCACTCAGCCACTGACACCTGCGGCGTATGAGTAATATTTCGCCAATTGCATTCGTCTGGGCCGCATTGACGTGGCCACGCGCTGTTGTTGTTGTTGTTGTTACTTTTTTTTGACTTATTTTATTTTATTTTGGGTTGGTCGCCAAAAACTTGTTTGTGTTGTGCATTTTTTTGCGTTTTAGTACCTAATTAAATGCAATTTTGTTCTGTAAATGCAAAAAAAATAAAAATTAAAAAAAATCACTCAGAAGACGCAACATTAAAATGAATATTAATAATAATAATATTAATAGTAGCAATTAAAAACCAGAGCAGTTACAGATACAGTTGTTGTAATACACTAAAAAAAAAAAAAAAAAAAAAAAAAAAAAAAAAAAAAACACTTTTAGATATATTTTTATTTTTATTTTTTGTATTGATAAGGTCGGGGAATTTTCGTACATTTTTTTTGGTGTTTGTGATTTGCATACAAACAAAACAAGATTCAGTCCACCTTCACTTGTCTACCAAGACCTAAGGTCTCCGCCCCGCCCGCCTAGCCTTCCGCCCACTCGCATCACGCGCTGCTCCTCAAGCTGCGTGTGAACCAAGGGAATCGTATTATGCGATAATATTTAAACTACTTACATACGATTTTGTTGTAAAACACAAACACACACAAAAAAAAAAAACGGTAATCGATTCAAGCTTGCATAATGCTTGTTGTTGTTGTTGTTGTTGTTGCTGTTGTTAGCCACCTAATTGGCCAGGGGACGTGGACCCAACGCCGCCAACGGCTCCGTTAAATGCCAATTACAGTTTTGTGCCTCCCCAAAAGCCAAGCCGAAAAAAAAAAACAAAAACAAAAACAAAATGTAAAATATATAAATAAAACTTTACGTAAATTGCGTTAGCGCTGAAAAAATCGCCCCCGCGGCGCCGCGAGCGCGCTGCAACCTTCTGAGCGGTTGCGGCAGCGCATGCAAAATCACAATTTCGATATACACATACATATATATATATATACATACACATCTCTCTCTCTATATATATATATAGATGGAGATATTTTGGGCCAGTTCTACGACCGTGCCCAGTTAGTTATCTGGCAGGTGCCTTGCGCATTTTTTATGACCATTTAAAGGCCGCGTCGCGCATGCGCAATGTAAGACGCGCAGCAAACGCGCACAAACCGCGCACAAAACGCGCACGAAACGCGAGCAAAACGCACGCATTCACGCATTACATTTTAGAAACTAAAAGCGTCAACGCGCCAACACCTACATAAATAATGAATGAACGGCCAACAGGCTGTAAATATAATACAATATATACCCTGTACATAGAAGCTATAAGCTATACCTATAATATAGATAAATAAATAAAGTTTACAATATTTATTTGGATGGCAATTCTTCGTATTCTGTGAATAAAACTTTGTCTACAAATTAATCAAATGCCAAGAAAACAATTAGGCATGATAAACGATTCACATGAGATCATATTCCAGGAATAAACAAGAAGAAGAGATAACAAGAGATTAGCTTATATGAGACTATTAAGCAAATTGATCTTAAGGGGAAAAGAAAAAAACAATTTCAAGTAAGAACAAATAAAAAATGCCTTAAAATTTTGCATAAAAACAAGATGGGTAATATTAATTAGCAAGCAATACTAATTAATTAGTATATATAATATACCATAAGAGACAATAGAAGACTGAAAAAGTAAAAGAAGAGCTATCAAGAGAATTGCTCATAAAGAACGTTTCCACTAATTGATCTTAAGCAAAACAATTCGAGTTTACAAAACCTAAAAAAAATCAAAATATTGCTTAACAAGTGAAAACATTAATTAGCACACTATACTAACTAGTTAGGTAATATATAATTTATTATAGATAACCAGCGATTAGCTTATATAATGAGATAATATTAATTGATCTTTAACGGGGGAAAAAAAAAAAAAAACAATTTTAAGTGAGGACAAATATAACAAATCTTAAAACAATTAAATATTTAGCTTGGGACTAATTGGACTCGGGAAAGAGAAAAACAAATTTGGCCAAGCAAAAACCAAAACAATTTCGCTTAAAGTTTTGCAATAGTTAATTAGTTAGTTAGTATAGAGCTAAGCTACATCTAGAATTCCTTTTCGTTTTGGCGGTGCGTAACGCCACAAGGTACCGTCCAGCACCCGCCCCTAGGCCGTACTATTGGCCAGTTCCACTAATGAATAACGTTCATCTCTGCGCTGTGTTTGTTTTCATTTTTCGCTTATGCTTTTTTTCTCTTTCTCTCCCTCTCTGTCTCTCTCTCTCTCTCTCTCTCTCTCTTTTGGTATTATTTTTAGCCAAAAGCTGGTTTCGAGCCAGACACCGCCTCGCTGCGAGAGAAAGTTGTGCTGAATCCGGGCGAGAAATGGCGCATTTTAAAGAATATCTCAATCATCTCGATCGCCTTCATGGTGCAGTTCACTGCGTTCCAGGTGAGAAATCCGCACAATGGCCCAGCGAAACGAGCCCAGCTAATTGGCAATTTCTATTTCTTTATTATTACCATTTAGGGCACGGCCAATCTGCAATCCTCGATCAACTCGAAGGATGGTCTTGGCACAGTGTCGCTCAGTGCCATTTATGCGGCGCTGGTTGTCTCTTGCATCTTCCTGCCCACGCTGATCATTCGGAAGCTGACGGTTAAATGGACGCTCGTTTGCAGCATGCTCTGCTATGCGCCGTACATTGCCTTCCAGCTGTTCCCGCGCTTCTACACCCTCGTGCCGGCTGGCATTCTGGTGGGTATGGGGGCGGCGCCGATGTGGGCGTCCAAGGCCACATATCTGACACAGGTGGGGCAGGTGTATGCGAAGATAACTGAACAAGCTGTCGATGCCATTATTGTGCGCTTCTTTGGCTTCTTCTTCCTGGCCTGGCAATCCGCCGAGCTCTGGGGCAATCTCATCTCCAGCTTGGGTAAGTCCACATACATGAAGCGCTGGACAACATGACTAAATCGTCCACTCTCCCTCTCCCTCTCTCTCTGTCTTCGTCTCTCTCCTTTGCAGTCCTGTCGAGCGGCGCACATGGTGGCAGCAGCAGTGCCAATTCCACAATCAGTGAGGAGGATTTGCAGTTTTGTGGTGCCAACTTCTGCACCACCGGCACCGGCGGCCACGGCAACCTGGAGCGTCCGCCAGAGAACGAGATCTTCGAGATCTCCATGATCTATCTGTCGTGCATTGTGGCCGCCGTGTGCATCATTGCCTTCTTCCTGGATCCGCTCAAGCGCTACGGTGAGAAGCGCAAGGGCTCCAATTCGGCGGCGGAGCTTTCGGGCCTTCAGCTACTCTCGGCCACGTTCCGTCAGATGAAGAAACCCAATCTGCAGCTGCTCATACCGATCACCGTCTTCATTGGCATGGAGCAGGCGTTCATTGGCGCCGACTTCACCCAGGCCTATGTGGCGTGCGCCCTGGGCGTGCACCAGATTGGCTTCGTCATGATCTGCTTTGGCGTTGTCAACGCCCTCTGTTCCATACTCTTTGGCTCTGTGATGAAGTACATTGGCCGCACGCCCATCATTGTGCTGGGCGCCGTCGTCCACTTCACGCTCATCTCCGTCGAGCTCTTCTGGCGGCCCAATCCCGACAACCCGCTCATCTTCTACGCCATGTCCGGCCTGTGGGGTGTCGGCGACGCCGTCTGGCAGACGCAGATCAACGGTCTCTATGGCCTGCTCTTCAGGCGAAACAAGGAGGCCGCCTTCTCGAACTATCGCCTCTGGGAGTCGGCTGGCTTCGTCATCGCCTATGCCTATGCCACAACGCTCTGCACCCGCATGAAGCTCTACATTCTGTTGGCTGTCCTCACGCTCGGCTGCATTGGCTACGTCATTGTGGAGATTCTGTACAGAAAGAAGGTAAGTTCCCCGAAGTTCCCGAAGTTCCCGAAGTCCGAGTGCAAGTGGAGATATGATTCTAATCGATTCTCATTTACCCTCCCCACAGCAACGCAAGATCAAGAAGCAGGAGAAGCTCGAGGCTGCCGAGAAGGAGAAGGAGGCTGCGGCTGCTGCAGCAGCCGCTGCCGCTGCCGCCGAGGCCAACAATGGCTTCGGCGACGGCGTCGAGGAGACCGATGATGAGCTGGACGATCTCGAGGAAGATATTGTAGTCACGCGCCTGTAATAATCGTCATTTGTTAATTGTTGTACGTTCTTTTTGTTTATTTTCGCTGACGGCGACGACGTCGTTGCGGCCGCAACAACTTCAACTGTTAAGGCTTAACAGTGCGCAATTCTGTTAATCAAACACGAGTGCAAAAAATGTTAAACATAGATTCAAATACACACAAACACACATACACACAAACACACGCACACTGTTGCATAACTGGAGGCGCACACACACATTTCGTCGGCCCATCGGCGACGCGTCCGAGCACTTTGTCGTTGTAGTTGTCGTAGTACTTAGTACATTCCCCCTTCCCAAAACCATTCAATACAAAAGGCCACAAGCTAGCAGAAGCGCACACACACACCAGTGCCTCTATACATAGCTATAAATTTTAATATAAATTTGTCTGTGTGCGTGCGTGTGTGTGTGTCCTGCACCAGTTTCGTTTGTACATATGCAAAAAATGTTAGCAGCCAATCGACGACTGCATCCGAGAGTTTATAGCAATTGACGACAGAGGGCGTCTTCAACTTTACAGAGTGTGCGAAAAAGAAGCAAGCAAGGGTGTGTTAGTTAACTGTAAGAGAGCCGCACACATACACACATGCACAAGCAACACGCACACTGGCAACACATGCTGCAACAGTATGTGTGTCAATATGCCTATTAATTTGTTATTTTATTTTAAATACTAGCATTAAATCAATATACATATATACAAATTTTTTTTAATAATTTTTTTTTTGCTTATATAAAAAAACCACAAGAAAACAATCAAACAACAAAACGTGATAATCAGCCACACTCACAATGCACACACGCAACACACACACACACACCGACACGAGTGCACACAGTCACAAAATAGTCAAATTTCTAAACTAAACTAAAAACTGGCCGCGAAAACTAATGTTAAACTTAATTGTTAATTATAAGCAGTCGAAAAAGAAAACAAAATATATAAAAACTATATATACCATAAATATGTATATATGTATGTATATGTGTATATAGTATGTACTTATATACACATAACAAATATAGAAAGCAAGCGATTAAAACAAATTTGATAAATGCATAAGCAAAAAATATAGCATGCGAAATGAGAAATACATTTTTTGCTCAGTATTATGTTTTAAAATATATATTTAAGCGAGTTATTGTTCCCTGTTTTTTTTTTTTTTTTATTTAACTATATTTCTTTTTCAAAACAAAAAAAAAAAACAACAAAAAAAAGACAAAAGAGAAAAGATGATATACATATATAAATATACACATAAAATTGCAAAGAAACAAAATATTATTTTCGTGTTGGAATAACATTTTTAAAAACAAACAAAATATATAAAAAAAAATTAAGTCAACCTCCCTCAAATTGCAATTATTATCATTTTCATAATGTTGCATAAACACAAAATACAAACATTTTTTTTTTTTTCGTTTTATTGAAAACTTTTACGCAAATATAATCAAATGTAAAAAACAAAAATGCACAAAAAAAAAAAAACAAAATCAAAACAAAAAATTATAAATAATGCATACAATTTTCTTTTTTTTTTTTGCCTAGTTAAATAAGTAGTTCATTATATTATGTAAAAAATAAAAATAAATAAATGAATATAAATATTTTAAATGCCTGTTTATATTTTATTTCAAACTAAAACGAACAATTATCCAAATCTTTGTCAATCGAACTTCCTTACATTTGATTTGATTCTGACTCTTAGTCAGAATAGTTAAAAAACGAAATATGTAGTTATCGATAATAATCGATTGTGGATTTCTGAACACATTAGTTAATGATCATTGATAATAATCTATTTTAGCTTAGAAGGCTGGGAATACAAAATCTGTAATTATCCATAATAATCTATTTGGTCTATGAGTCTGATAACACAGTCTTTATATTTCGATATTAATCGATTTGGATTGTGAAGGATAAAGAATTCACAGTGCAAATCGATTATTATCGATAGCAAATGCAAATGAATTGAGTTATACAACCAAATTTGACCAGTTTTTAGCGTGTGAGGTTTACAATAATATATGGTATATGTATACAAAATATTTATAAGCCTTTGATATGGATGGATATGTATGTCAATTCATCGGATCGGATCAAAAATATATAAGTACTTTATAGGGCTGACTATGTCCTCAATTTTTTCTGCTCTAAGCCTTAACATTGCACATTTTCAAGGGATATTACAAGTAGTAAGGCTATCTAGTTTAGTTATCTAGTTTTTATTGTAATTAATGATTATAGTTATGATTACGATTTACTAAAACTTGAGCTATACAAAAGCAATATAAAGAGTACTTTGATTGAGATTAAAAAAGGGTTCTGCTTGACGTTAACTTAAAATATACATATATAAATACATATATTATATAATATACTCTAGGACGGGGTGCGGTGTTGGGTGTTAGTTTTAAGGCCCAATAGTCGCTGCTGTAATTGTCTTTTGCCTCGACATGCCGCCACGTCACGTTGCAATTAGTCAGGCCAAGAGATATCGCGGCACGAATTGCCCGCGCTGCATGCGCACGCCTAGATCTACGCCTAAGATTATTCTAGGTGTACATATACAAAAATAAATACTTTATTGTTAATGAAGGAATGTAGAAGACAAAAAAAAAAACCCTTAAATTTTAACAGACTTCTTGCTGAGATTGGGCAAATCTGGAATTAGAGTTTTATAGCATCGTCCACGTTGTACTTGTTGTTCTTGCGGCGACGGTTGGACTTGATTTTACTGAGCACGTTGTAGGCCTGCTGGATTTCAATGAAGCGCTTATGGGCAGCTTCACGCAGCGATTCGTCCTTGACCTTGTCGGGATGGTTCTCCTTGGAAAGTTTGCGATAGGCAGCGGTTATGTCGGCCTGCGAGGCAGTGGCGCTCACGCCCAACACCTTGTAGGCAGTGCGCTCCCCATCCACGTCCATGCTCTCGAAGACCTCGCGCCATGTCTCGTACCAGCCATGATGTTGTCCATAGGTGTAGGTGTCGTACAGGGCCTGCTTCAAGTCGGTCCACCAGGCGGAGGCTAGGAAATTCTGCAAAGCCTCGTATATGGGCACTTCGCCACCGTCGTCGTCGGGAATGGAGCCATTGAAGAGCACCACGGAGCTCCATACGGCAATGTAAATGCAAACGGCAGCTCCCAAATAGAGAGTGCGTTCACCCTTAGTGCGCCTGCGCTCCGGAGTACGGCGCCACTGCTTCGCGACGCTGTCAAAGACCAGTGCAGAGACGAGCGACGTCACGAGCAGCGAATAGGTCTCATCGTAGATGTAGAAGCGCGCCAAATAGCCAACGAAGGCGCCGGCGAAGCACGGCCACCAAATGCCGCACTCACGCCCAATGTTGCCAACGGTCCAGACGCCCAGTGACACGAATAACGGTATGAACCAGTGCAGCCAACTCAAGTCAATGCCGCCGGTGATGGACTGCGGTATGGCCGCGCTGAACAGCTGGCCAAACAGGTATCCAAACATAATCTGACCCATAAACCGCTTGGACGAGTAGGGCGGGCGCGGATAGGCCTGCATCTTGGCAATGAACAGCTTCATAAACTGCGGATCCTCATTGGCGTCGCGCACGTATTCGGGTATCAGAAATATCTCACTCAGCCAGCCGACGCCCAGGTAACCGCCAAGGGAGCACCACCAGAGGAACGCCTGACGATCGCGACGCAAGTACAAGTGATGCAGTCCAAAGATGCCGCCGACCAGCCAGAGTAGATAAGCAACGACGACGGACTTCTTCTTGGGCAGCATATTCTGCTCGACATGTTGCTGCTTGGTGTCTCCCTTCGGCTTTTCTGGCGGTGGCACTGAGCCAGGGCCAGAGTCAACGATCATTTCATAGCCAGAGGCAGCAGGCGAGCCACGGATCTTGCCAGAGATGGTCCCAGGCGAGTTGCGAATCTTTCCATTGGCATTGTTATTGCCTTCATTGTTGTTGTTGTTGTAGAGAATGGTCTTCTTTAGTCCCATTTTCTGTGAAATTCTTACCATGATTATATAGAATGAATGTTTTGAATATTGTGAAAGTAATGCAAAACACAATTCTTACCAGCTTGAAATCTCAGATGTTGCTTGATTCACTTGTTTTCGTTATTTAGTCAGCCAGAGAGCGAGTTCTCCCTGATGTCGCCCAGAAAGCAGTCAACAAGGCGAGTCAAGTCGAGAGCCAATTCAAACTTTCTCTTTTCACAAATTCTGTGCACGCAGCTGCAACAACAAAAACAACAGCGAGAGCAAGAGTGAGCAACGTACGTAGCTGACAAAAACAGTTATAGCCAGCCGCACTGATGCGTTCAAATCGTATTAGTTCTTAACGCTTCACTTTAACTTACATGGTTAATAACAAAAATGGCGAGCTCTCGCCTTAACTCTGTATTTAATCGTTTGTTGCTTCGCGTTTGTTTCGTTTTTCGCATGTGCCACTTTTGTCGGGTCACAGTTAAGTCTGTTGCGTTCTTTTCGGTAATTTCTTTTAAGCCAGATCTCTATTTCGATTTGAAGCGTGCGCCGATCTGGCAACCTTGCGACAAACAGTGCTGTTAAACAACAAAATGCGCAACACTCACCCAAAATATAACTTTCAAATAATAAGAATCAAATTTCATATAAACAATTTTGAGCTACTATATCTCGCTGAAGATGTATTGCGGATTAAAAGCAAAATTAACCTAAAATATCTTTAAGTAATCATTCAATGTTTCACTGCAGGCTAGTCTTTTCGCAAAGGTATTTAATCTCTTGAAGCTGTTAATTCTTGTTCCGCTTATTAAATTAAATATTTATGTATATAGCTACGAATTTTACATTTTCACACATGGATAACTCACCTTCCACTTTAAGGAGCGTACGTAAAATTAGGAACTGAATTAATTAAAATTTTTGACAGCACTTCGATAATTGTGTGAAACGCTCGATGTTTTACAATCGACAAAGCAAAATGGATGGACAATTTTTAGTCACGATCAAATTCGGTCACATTCAATTGTTCTCTTTCTCGCTTTAACTGTCAAATAATTGGGAACGAAATTTGAAAAAGTTTGCTGTTTATTCACTTGAATGCTTACACGTACAAAAAAAAAAGTAATTAGGTTTAGTTTGACACGATAATTGCTTTCGTTTATGTTGTAATAAGTCTACACATACAATTAGAACTTATAGATAACATGCAAAACTAGCATAGTTGACAGAATCTGAGAATAGTTTTGTATATTCTTAGCAGCTTACAAGCAAATGGTTATGAGAAAAATGTAATACTTTCAATGTGCGGCTCTTGACCGTCGCTGGGTTAATAAATAAGTACATACACATACGTATATAAAAAACCACATGAACAAAATATAAAAAAAAAAAAACCGAATATGTTAAATTAGTAAAAGATCCATCTTGATGGAACATATAAAATACAAATGGAGCCTTGGCGACAATTAGTTGTTTTTCTTTTTGGGCTTCTTGGGGTTGCGTGAGCGTGACTTGGCCTTGCAGAGCGGACAAATGGGAGCATTTCGATGAATTTGCTGGTGGCAAGACAAACAGGACTTCATGGGGGGCGGCTGCTGCCTCAGGTTTACGTTGAAGTCGGAGCGAAAAGATGGATGGTGTCCAATCCCGATCGACGGTGACTGCTGCAATCGATTTGTGGTCGGCGGTGGAGGCGGCGGTGCCGAAAAGTCGCTCTTGCCCAGACGAGCTGCAGCTACGGCCGCAGCTGCGGCAGCGCCAGCACTGCCAGGTGCTCCAGGCGGAGCGGGTGGCATGAACGCATGTCCCGGTCCACCACCGCCGCTGCTGGGCACATTAGAGCCACCACCCCCACCCGCACCGGCCGAATTCGGCGGCATTGCTGTCACGGTGGCCTCCGCCATCAGCGGATGCCGTGCATGGGGTCTCGCCAAAGATGTGGGCTGAGTGACGGCGGCCGCTGCGGCTGCTGCTGCTGCCACGGCCGCTGATTGTGCGGCGACTTTGAGAAAGTTTGTCTGAAAGCGATCCTTGGATATGGGGCTGCCCTCCTCTTCGTGTAGGTCTCGGAGTGGACTGAGACCCAGGTAGTCGCGTCGCATGTGGTCGATTTGATATTTGAGAGCGAGATATTCCTCGTACACACGATTGGCCATATCGAACGAGCGCGTTTGATTCTCCTTCGTCTGCTTAATAATATTTTCCATGTCATTGATGTCAGCGTGTATCTGGCGGAGCTCCTCCACATGCGACATCTTCTCCTCGAGCAGATGCTCCATTTCCTTGCGATATTCGTCCAGGCATTTCTCCTCGTCATCGCTTAGCTTCACCTCCTTAATGATGCGGACCTTGAGCTTCTCCAGGGCCAACGTTTTGTCCCGTATATCCTTGATTGCCTCCAGCTTAGCGTAGTAGTGCCGCTCATTGGAGCTAGAAATCTCGCTGGTGGCCATTTTGAATGGCTGCTGTGATATTTATATCTGATGCACTGATTGCAATTTGTAATTTCGATTTGTCTGTAGCTCTCAATATATTCAGTGTACGCTTCGTGACAATAAATAAACTGTGCGACGCAAAGGTTCGATTTTTAATTGAACGTTTATTATTTTTGTATGCTTTTTTCACTTTTGCTTTGTGTATTTCGCGCAGGGATGGGTACTTTTATTCAGGGTTTTGTTATTAACGCTATCGATATATCGCTTTTTGTAAAGAACGAAATAGTCGATAGGGCTGTTAAAGACACATTGAATTCAGTATTTACAAAATTGTAATATTAATTTCTTTATGTTATGACACGAGCTATATTAGTTTAACTACTAAAATTATAAGTGGTTAGTAGTTTAACTCTCTATATATAACTTTATTGGTATCACAATTATTTTTAAATTTTCATTATAAATCAAATGCGTATGTGCCACTGGATCTAAAATATATATAGAACGGTTAATGCGCAGAAGTTTTCTCTCCCAACCAGTAATATTTAAAAATTGAGATACTTGTAATATTAACTAGTCAATGTTTTAAAATGTATTATTGTATTATTTGATTTAGTTTTGTATTTTTTTGAAAATTCTTGGATAATTCTGCCGCTGCTATGTTGAATATATATATATATATCTTTTAAAGTTATTTCGGAAGGGACAGTTTTTTATTTACAATACTAAAATTAATTAAAGTTGAAAAATAGTATTTTTCAAAGCTTTTAAATATATGGGAATAATTGCGCCAACAAAAAAAATACTGCAGTCGGAACACGTTTTATCGATGATGCTCTTTGTTTGTGAATTCATCGTTATATTGTATCGATCTAACATACTTAGTAAAAATGACAGAATTTTTAGATTATTTTTATTTAATACCTTTGGAAATAAACACGTACAAATATTGATATTCAAAAAAATATATGAAATTTGTGTGATTCCCGTTTGAACAACATCCAAGAAATCAATGGTCTGTTACTCTAACAAAAGTACGAAATGCAAATATCGATAGATAACCGAATAAGGTATCCCTAGTTGCGGTTTGAGTTGACTAACCACAGCATAAATATTTGCAGCCCTAACTGTGCCGGCTAATTTTTGTTTGCCTAATGGTTTATGGAAGCAAGAGCCTGTAAAAATGGGTCTTCTATCGGATCCGTCAATATCGACACATAATAAGTTGGTCGACAGTCTTGCAAAGCATATGCGCAAGCTGTGCTATGTTTTCTACACAGCGGGTGTGGTCTGGTTTATGTGCCTCGCCCTACCGGAATTCAACCATGGAACTTACTTATCAGAGAATGCCTTGTCACCAGGTGTGTATACAACTGACTGACTTTGACGCAGTTGTAATAATGTTAATTGCAGGTTTGGTGTATCCTGAGATACGCATAGATTCCAATCGGCTGGCTCTTCAGCTGCTAGAGGAGCTCCAGCGCGAACGTAAGGAACATCAGTCCACAACGCCGCACGCCTGGATTCTCGGCAAGTTTAATGAGTTTGGCTTGGAGACATACATACATAACTATACGTTACGCTATCCGTTCGGAGGTGGCAAAGAGTTCCATGGCAAGAACATCTATGGCATATTGCGTGCACCGCGAATTGGTTCCACTGAGGGTATAGTATTCTCGGCACCATATCGTCCACCGAGCTCGGTGCATGACGACATATCGGCTAGCGTGCCAGTGTTATTGACGTTTGCAGAGTTTGCCAGGCGTAAGTAGCCCAATTACCACACACATCTAAAGACTTAGAGCTCTTTTCTTTTGGCAGGTAAAAATTACTGGGCCAAAGACTTGGTATTCCTGGTCACCGAGCAGGAGCAGCTTGGCATGCAGGCCTGGCTAGAGGCTTATCATGACGGCGACAAAAAATATGACACTAGCAGTTCGTACTTGGTGCCTGGGAACCTACCAGCACGCGCCGGCGCGCTGCAAGCAGCTGTAAACATTGAAGTGGAGGACTTGGAAATCGGTTGGTTTTCCCATACAATCGGCACGAGCCATCATGTGCTTAGTAACCGATATGTTTTTGCAGATTATGTGGATGTCAAGATCGAAGGATTGAATGGCAAGCTGCCCAATCTGGATATGTTCAACTTGGTGCAGCGCATCATGGCACGCGAAGGCGTCACCTCTGGGTACAAGCAGGCGCCGCGCAAGAAGCGTCGCACGAACTACTCCACTTACGAGCAGAACTTGCGCCAAATGCTGGCCATGCTGTCGGCACAGACATCGGGCGTGCCCAGTGGCAATCATGGACTTTTCCATCGCTACCGCATTGATGCCCTGACGATATCTGCTGCCAAGCGTGTTACCAACTCCAATGTCAAGTCCAATCCGAGCTCGGCTGCCGTGCCTTTCTTAAAGGCAATCGAGGGCATTTCTCGCAGCCTGAACAACTTGCTGGAACGGTTCCACCAGAGTTTCTTCTTCTACCTGATTGTACACAACGATCGCTACGTATCCATTGGCGACTACATGCCCGCCCTGGTGGCGCTCATCGCCTGCGGGTTCGTGAAGGCGTATCTGATCTGGTCTACATTGGATGCCCCAGAGCATACCTCACAGCAGGACGCTGACACTAATCCACCTGCGGTGTATTTGAAGCTAACGTTGCCATATGGCAGTGTACTCATCTATTTGACGGTATCGGTCGTCATCGGCTACATGGGCAACGTGCTGCCGCTGCAGAAATACTTAATTTCACTGCCAATAGGCGCCGGGCCGCTCACTGTAGCCATGCTGATGGCAATTAATCTGGCTGGGTTTGCTCTGCCGTTCTTTTTGGTGCTGCCCTTTGGCGGACTGGAGCTGCTGCACATTAGTCTGCTGCTCATCTATAGCTGTGCTCTGATTGTCATTGGACTGCTCAACTTCGCGCTGGGCTTCTTTGTAGCGGTGCTGTCGATGCCCATGATCGTGGCCCTTGACCCAAACACCACGAATGTCACATTGCGCGGCTTGGCACGTCTCTGGACTCTGCTACTGAATCCGGTGGTGGTCATCTACGCAGTCGTCCTGGTCTTGACCTTCTATCAATTCCCCGAGCTGGCATTCCAGCAGCTGCTGCTGCGCGCCGCCACCGCTGCCATGGATGCGGTTACCTTTGCGCTTATTGATTCAGTGGTGAGTACGATCGATCCGAATACTATCTTGATTGATTCATATTCGTGACTCATCTCTTACAGATTTATGGCAATTGGCTTTATTTTGTGGCGTGCACAGTCTTCTTTCCCCTTTGGATCGCTTGTTGGACTCTGGCTCTGGGAAGGCGTGGCGACAATACGATTTCAAAAACGAAGCTGAAAACAAACTGATCTGCTTCTTAGCTTTTCCTTAAGTTTACAAAATTATTATTATTATTTTTTTTTTGTTCTACGGCAGCTTTTAACAAATAAAGTATGTGCATATTTGTAAGTTATGGAAATATTTACCTATCTGTATTATTCCTACCAAAAATATAACCAATGATAGATATGTGAATACAATTTGATATCATCTGTATATCTATTACATATATCGATCAATTAATATGATTTTTTCTAGCTTTGTAATCTATTCAAATATTTTTTACTTGAATCAAAATTTAAATAGGTATCTTGGTCTTAGTTGAGTTTATACATTTATACATATATATAATTTTTTTAAAGAGTTTCGGTTTAATCTGTATTTTCTCTATGTTCCATTAGCTACGAAGATTCTCTAGTTACTCATCTATTGATCATCTTCAAGGATATCGAATATAAATTTGTATTTGAGGCGCGTATCGTATAGTCGGGTGTGCCCGGCTGTAAAGTTCTTGTCTAACTTGACTTCAGTTCGTCTTTAACAAATTTCATTCAATTTCAATGGAATATCAAATGATCCAATAAAAACTTTGAAATCAGGAATTTTCAGTCTAAGCCGTGACTTGACTAACGATGCGTTATTTTGGGTCATTCTGTGGGGATATTTCTTGTTTTGATACATTTGTTTACGATTCAATTCGGAAGGGAAAATGCCAATTAAAAGTTGGGAAATTATGTAGTTTAGAAAACTATTTGGTCTGGCATAGAGCTGGCAACTTTATGAGACCCTTTTATAAATTAGTATACAGCGTGCTCATTGAAAAAAGGTAATTCAGGATGGTTTGTTTCTGGACAAGTGTTTTCAAGCGTAGGCGTGGCAGAGGGAGTATGGAAAAATATAAAATAATGATATACGATATTTCTATGGCATATTTCGGATGGCATTATTCCTCTTGTAGACTGAAATGGGAGAGACCCATGGTAACTCTTAGTGCTACCCTCCGGTTGGGGTATACTTGTTCGTTTTTTTTTTTTTTTTTTTAGCATACATAATATAAAAAGTTGGGAATCATTAGTTTATTTGAATGTGTTTACGCTACGGTTAACACACGCGCACTCACACACAGGCACACACTAACAAGTGCGTGTGTCTGTGTGTGCATGTGTGTGTGTGTATATAGTATATAGAATTTATATGTATATGTATATGTAATTTGACAAAGTTGATTTATTGTGGCACACAGCGATATCACGTATTCAGTTTGAAGAGCATCAATGAGCAGGGGTAGCAGGGGGTGTGGGGTAGGTGGAATGCGAGGGGTACTGTGTGTTAAGGGCGAAGGGGCGTTAACGGAAAGTGTGCAAACTTTTTGACTATGACACGCAACTCAATTTAAAAGTTTCGAGATGCTGGCAATGCGGCGATGTGATGCGATGCGATGCGATGCGATGGAGGCGGTAATTAGTTATGAGCCGGAGCGAGAGACGTAAAACTCTACGGCTGTGGCAGTAGCAGTTGGTGTGAGAGTGAGAGTGGGAGTGGCAGTGTAGTAGTAGTAGTAGTTGTGTTTGCGGATGGCAGTCCAGGCCGCAACGCAAACTGTGTGCCAGACGATGATGCTGATGATGAGAGCAGCGGGAGGATGGATGGATGGATGGATGTAGAAGGGTTCGGCTGCACTTCCCATCCAGTTGATGAGCTTAACAAGAAAAGTTTGCTGCCACTGGCATCTGTATCAGAGTCAACAGCTGGCTGGATTGGCATGGGTATGCGGATTAGGATCTGGCTAGGCCTGTTTGTGTGTTCTATGGTGCAACGGGAATTTATTGATTTTAAGCGACATTTCGAATATTGTAAACCTATGCTAGGTGATAAGCCAAATGGAATCAAATGGAAAATCAGCATCAGCTTCAGCGCTTGGCCAGGAACGTCGATCCGTCGCAGTCCCCGGACGATGACTCGCGCTGCTCAAGCGGCAGGATCAGCAGCGCCTCCTGCACCACGCCCGACTTCTTCATGGTCTCGCCGATACCTTCGAATGCTGTGATTTTGTTGCTATTTCGGGATCTGTTGATACTTAAGTTGCCATCACTGGAGCTGCCTTGCGAATTGCTGTCATTGGAATGGCGGCAGTTGGACTCGGAGTTGGAGTCGGAGGGCTCGCTGATCAGCGCGCTGCATAGCCGCTGCTTGCTGCGCTTGAGAGCGGTGTTGCAGCGCTCCATGACCTCGCGCAGATCGTTGCGTCCCAGGTCCTCGTTGAGCGCCCCGAACAGGGAGTCCAGGGAGCGGGTTGTGGTCTCCATTTCGATTTGCTGGACGAGCGCGAGATCGCGCTGATGCTGCGTGCAGCAGATCATGTCCCGGTGGAGTCTGTGGGCATCGGCGAGCATTTGATCGAGCAGCTGGTCGGTCTGGTAGAAGTCATCCCTCAGCTCGGCAATCACGCCCAGCTCACGGGGCGACGGCGGCGGCGGTGGCGATGGCTCCGCATCCATTTTGCGCTGTTTCCTTGCGGTGGCCAGAGATCGCTGTGTCGCCGACCCGTGGCCGGACTGGCTGCCCTTCGCTGACTTCCTTGCCTGCCCACCAACTGCAGCCGAAGCGCTCGGCTCAGTCTCGCTCTCCTTCGGCTGTGGCCGCTGCTCACCGGCGAACCTATTCAGCTGCACGCTGGAGACGCTGGTCAACTGGAGGCGCTTGGCCCGCTCCACGAGACTGGCGAGTGCCCGCTCGGCCACCATTTTCACCTGACGCTTCGAGTCGCTCATCGTTCATGTATTTCCTTACCGTCCCGTTATCGAAATTGTGGCTACAGAAGAAGAACTAAAGTTTTTGTGTTTCGTGTTCGTTTTTGGGTAGTAAAGCGAATCAAATTTTGAAACTATGTGTGAACTGTGTAGATGATATTTGGATCTGAGGTTTAGCCTAGCTATTCAATTATATATAGTCCCCCCCTCAAGTTGGCCGAGAGTTTCCTGTTTTGTTGAGCAAATCTCCCCAGCTGACAGCTTATGCAATGAGCAGCTGTTCTTTGATTGATTCTGTTGATTGATTGACTAATTTACTCTTGGACGATCAATGAGCTACGAATAGGCCACTGATTGATTGACTGACTGCTTGAAAGAGTAGATAATAGAGCGATTGACTGGCATTGCTTAGGTGAGTGGTTGACAGTAATCAGACTGATTGATTGATTGACTGGTTGACTAGCTGAATGACAGTGATTGACTAGCGGATTAACTAGCATTGGTTTTGTGAATGATTGACTGTCTCGCTTTAACTGTAACTGTTTGATTGAATGACTGATTGACGCAATACATTAATTGCTTGATTACTTCTTGCTTCATCAATTAAACGACTGAATTTCATTGACTAATTAATTGAAGGACTGATTGACTAACCAAGTAAATAGTTTAATTGCTTGGTTGTCCAGCTAACTGACGATTATTGACTATTTTATTGACTGATTGATTGATTAAGATTCATTAATTAATTATTGATTGAGTGATTGAAAGACAAAAACAAATTAATTGACAAAAAGATTCATCAATTAATTAGTCAACTTATTGATTGAGTGATTGAAAGACAGATTAATTTATTCATTTTACTGAACGATTGATTGATTACTGAATGACTGATGTTGATTGATTGCATAATTGTTTGACCCAAGCAGAAAAAGGGACATGTGATTGATTGATTGACTGACGGGCTTAGGATTGAAGAGCTGGGTATTAATAATAGTTAACTATTACAGACGATTGGCTCATAGTTCAGGTTAGGCTTGCATTCCCCCATTCCCTCATTTTGACAGTTAATTAATGAAGCTTGGCCCACGGTGCGACTCGTATTGTTCTTGGCGCAGCTACATATTCATTTACCAGGCGCTCAGCTTATGTAAGCCAATGCCAACATCTTGTTGCTCTTGAGTTGATTTCCCTGTATGCATGCCCACACATGCATAACGAAACAAGTGTGTGGACTCGTGCCGGTGGTGAGCCGACTAGCAGATACCCTAACAAATCAAGTTCAACGATTATCATCGATAATAAAGCGATGGCTAAATGAGTCGATAATCTATAACATCGTATAGGAGCATATCTATGGGCTGTTTTTAGACTCACTCGGCCTCTTCTTCTGCCTTCAAGCCTCCTCCTTCAGCCTGTTGCAAACACTTGCAAGAACAAATTATGCCCTGAACTCATATTTGCAATGGGTTCAGGGTATAAGCAACGTCTGCTCTTGTGCGTATGTCTGTGTGTGTGTGTGTGTGTGTGTGTGTGTGGTTAAGTAATGCGTTTGCATACATAGGCATTGTATATGTGTGTAGCTAGTTCTTATGGCTTTAGCTCAAATTTAAATGAATGGCGAAATGAAATGGAAGTCAAACAAAATGATCGACTGGCAAATACTACGTACTTTGATATACTCATATATTGCCTTGATTTGAGTTTATGTGTGCTTCTCAGAAATTAATAATTGTCTTGTTCTATTATAGTTTATTCAAAATCGATATTAATCGATAACACAGTTCAATGTGTGACTAACCAATCGAACCGCGCACTGGCCCAGCTACAGGGTATACTGTTTGGGGTTAAATCCAAATGAAACCCAATAAACTAGAAAAGTAATAGGCATTAGGGATAGCAAACTATTTATGTAGCTGACAGCCTATTTGATTCCCTGACTTGGCGAAGTACTTAAATTTGGCGCATGTTCAATTCCTTTGTCCTTTAGCTACGCAGTTGTTTAGCACATTAAGCCACTGAAGCAACTAGCAAACATACATATACATATGCATACACACACACACAGACACACATATGGAGTGAGAAATGGGCCACGGCTGCTGACTGGGAATGATGGCATCTTTATATCCTTGCGTTGGAGTTGTCAGCTGTTTTTATGGCAAAGTTATGACGTGCCTCATTCAGAGGCTTACGCTGAGGCAGCAAGGCAGCCAGCAAACAAAAGGGTATAGAGTCCCGAACCGGGTATACTCTAGCCAGCGCCATAAATGCCATAAACTCAATTTGCAATCAATTGATACTTGGACTGATGAAATAGGTAAGAAGAAGTTTAATCGCAAGTATTTTGCATAGGCAAGATGATGATGGATGACTATGAGATGAAGAAACTAGATCTATATACATACATATGTGCCTTCTGATATAAGATTAAGAAATTATATCTATGTACCTCTTGAGATTCCTGCATAATAAATAAATGCATATATACATCTTATACTTGCCTCAGAGCTATGAGTAACTGTCTGATTGATGTATGTATGAGCATAATTATATCCGAGTAATACATAATAATATATAATCTTATGAGATATTTCATTAAACTGATCAAAATAATACTAAGAAAAATGATAATATTAAAATAATATAAAATAATAATGAATAGAATATCAATTATATGAGAATGATAAAATTTAACCCCTCATCCCGATTCAGCCTATAATAATATTAGTATTGGCAATATATATAATTTTAATAGAAATAAAAATACTAATACAGTAGAATCCAATATAATGAGTCCGCTTATTGTGTCTGTACGGTTATAGCGACGAAAATTCTGGGCCCCAGACAAACTTTTATGAGCAAACTGATAGGGTTATAGAGACTTCCGTGAATCAAGACGGTCCCTTGAGTGTCGTTATTATCGGATTCTACTATAATTCAAGCATTTACCTTCCTAGCCCCACCCATATTCCAAATCCAATATCAATAATTGTAATATTCACCATAGTATTAAAGATAAAGTAAACCAACAATAATAGTAATAATATAGATAATTTTACTAATAATCATTGTCAAGATACTTCATTTCAATACTAGACCCAACACATAATAAAAATAGAAAAAAAAATCGATATTTATATATGTGAATATATATATTGATGATTATTAAATATAATTAATAAATTGTATATATAATAATAACCAGGTGTACATAATATAATATACATATATCCAGATCTAGGTTACTTTCTAACCTACAATCCATGGCATAGCCTATAATAGCATATTAAAGAGTGCGAAAAATGCGCTGAAATGAAAATGCGACAGCGTTGTCAAGGTGAAGCTGACAGCGAGCCCATCGACAGCCAAAAACCAGGAGCCAGTCGCCAGTCGCCAGTCACCAGTCGTCAGTCGTCAGTCGCCAGTCGAAAGCCGCCAGCCATCAGGCAGGAGACGGGAGGCAGGAGACGGCAGACAGCAGGATCCCTGGATCCATAGACGAGTAGTCAGATGCGAGAGCCAAGGAAGGGAAACTTTTATACGAGTTTTCTGGTGTAGAGGCAACTTTTGCCTTTTATGTTCGTCTCGTTGTCGGCAGCTATCAGTAAGTGTGCGTGTGTGTGTGTGTGTGTGTGCGTCAGCATGTGTGTAGGGGTAGGGGTAGGGGGTAGGGGGATGGAGGGTTGGAGGCGCTTATGGCGTTTTGTGTGACATTTATTGTTATTTAACTGTGACAAACTTTAAGGATAAGCATGCATAGACTTGTGTAGTCCTGTCTGACGCGACATGCAGACGCCATGTAAGCCATGCCATGCCTTGCCTTGCCACGCCATGCCCATGCCCATGCCCATGCCCAGGTACCCCCGCACACACCTGCCAGGTGAATTTGAAAGTCAACATAAAATATACACGTATTGCTGCGAAATTGAAATCAAAACTGAATATGAACTGTTGTAATGCGCGCTATGAAATATTTATGCCATCTACTACAATATGAATTTCGCTACAGGATTGCCGAACTTGCCCAAATGATGGGTGGGGCGGGGCCTTGTCGGAGGATGTCTATCTAAAACATGAAATTTATTTCATTTGTGCGTAAGTTCACATATTTTACGAGCTTCATGTCAGCAGCTCTTAAAGTCACTGAGATAAATGCGAATAGTTGGAGAGCGAAATAGTCGTACTTGAAGACAAGAGTCGAAATTGATTTTTAATTTCAATTTCAAATTCGGGTAAATCACGTTTGACCTTAGCCTGAACATAGGGAAGGATGGAGCAGGCAAAATATGTCAGAAATAATTAAAGAAAATAATAGAAAATATTACATGGTATTTTAGATTTAATGGTATAAGATAGTATTATCTAAATATATAAGAATTATTTAAATATTTATATAGATTAAGTACAGTACAATTCATAAATCACAAAAATTAGATCTAAAAGTATATGAATAAATAATTTGTTATATGCATTAAATACGGTATGAAATATTATATATTATATGGTATACATATTTTATACCGTACTAGAATTCGCTCTATGGATATATTGAATGTAAATGTTTAAATGTAAATTCACTTTTTGAATAAAAAATTCTGAATTGAGCAAAACTGAGAGTTTTCATTTTCTTAGAGAATATTGACGTTATCAAATTTATGAGAAGTTCCTCATAAACCAAAAGCCCAAGTTGTTCAAGAATTTCATATAGATGACATTAAGTCAAAGTAACACTTAGGATAAGTAGACTATGTGTGGTATATCTATGGTATATGGTGCACATAGGTAGTATACCAATCGATATCTCTATATCACTAGGTTGCACTATACCAGTCTCGGCTCTATTAGAAATTAATTTACTGCTCTTATGTTGGCATCAGACTCGGTCTGCCTCGGCGCTAGTCCCACTGTTGGCTCACGGCTCTACACGATTTCCTGCTCTAATAGTTCACTTTCCATTGGGCTAATAATTTCCGTAATTCACACCTATGTATGCGCAGCTGGCGATAAATCAAAGTCAAATGCAAAGCATGCTTAATAACCCGTTCCCCGCACCCCATACACAAACACACAGATACAGACAGAGCGAGATAAAGAAAGAGAGAAAGAGAGAGAGGGAGGCAGACAAGTGGGTGGCAGAGGCACAAGCAGAGGCAGAGG